CAAGGAGAATGCTCAGGAGTTGAGCAGAGTTATAGCCTCTAAGGGCTCAATGGGTGCTGCTAGGGAGGGACCGATCACCACCTTCACGCCTCTTAAGGGGAACTTCGAACTAGGCTTCTCGTCGCCACTAACTAAGCCTATAGCTGTTCGGGAGCTTATTATGAGCTCTATCGGCATATCACCCCCTAAAGGGGCTGCCCGTGATGAGGTTTTTGGTCGGAAGGAAGGCCCCGACCAGGCGGTGGACGGGAGCTGCTACAGCCCGAGCAATGGTTCCCCGCGTGCGAGCAGCGATGGTATGGAGGATGGCGAACCTGCTGTGTCCGACCAGAAGGTGCGTGAAACCAACAAGGAGGAGTTGAAGGATGATTCGGTCTCCCAAACAGCCATGGATGACGACAGCTGCACTCGGGCTGAGCTGCAGCTTCAGGTTTTGGCGGAAGCCATTCTTCCTGAAAATCGTGGGGCTGTTTCTTAGGCTGACTGCACCGAATTTGAGATGCATCCTGAGCCTGAACTTGTTTTGAATGGGGAAGGGATTGATATGGTAATGGATTGCACTATTAATAAGTGCAGTACTGCTAGTCTTAGGTGTGATCAGCCCCTTGGTCCAGCTGTGAGTGAGGAAGAATTTGCTGGACCATGCCCCCAAGGTTTTTTTTTGATAATGTCCACAAAGCTCAGAACTTGCCAAGACCTTCGCCGCAGCCAACACAGGCCCCGTCTTTGCAGCCGAACGGGTTTGCCAAGGGGCCCTTCGCGTGGAGCAAAATTCAACATGTTCCAATTGATCGCCTAAGCCGTGAGCAGTGGATTGCTAAGGATGGCCTTTGCATTGAACCGGAAATTGACTCTGTCAATGGCAACATTTCAAGACTTGATAAAGCGATCGTTGCAAAGCTAATGGGGCGTCAGATCTCATTCCCTTTCCTCCGCGAAGAGCTAAAATGGAGATGGTATCATTTTGGGGACTTTGAGATTATCACTGTTGCCGCCAATACTTTCATTTGCCTATTTCAAAGCGTTGAGGCAAGGGATGCCGTATTGGCTAGTGGGCCGTGGATTGTGGCTGGTAATATCATAGGTATGGACAAGGGGACCTCCACTTTCTCCCCCTCGTCGATGCAAGAACTCCATTCCCCAATCTGGGTTCGTCTGCCGCAATTACCGTTGATCTATTGGGATGTTAACAACATCACACACATTGCTAATGGGATTGGGGAGCCTCTTTGGATGGATTCACATACGAGCACATGGGGTAGGTCATCGTTTGCACGCATTTGTGTAAGGATTGATCTTTCCCAAAAACTACTCCCGGGAGTTTGGATCAATGGTATTCATGGGCGATTCTTCCAAAGAATTGAATACGAAGGACTTACAAACTTTTGTTTCGATTGTGGGCACATCGGTCATGCCACCGAAAAGTGCTCGCCGAATATTAATGGTGAAGGGGCAACCCCCACTAGCGCTCGAGCTCAACACCCCAACAAAGCCCAACCAAGGGATCTACCCGTGAGCAGCCACCCCCTTGGATCGGAACAACCTGCTAGGGACGGTCCCCTTGACCGTGAGGAACAAGAGAAGGACTCCTTTGGAGAGTGGAATCTGGTCACTCGTAAGAAGAAAGGCAAGAAGAAGGCCTCTTCGGTGCTCCCAACCTCTAGACAGAGTAAAGAAACCGATCAGGGCTCTCCCTCCCGAGATTCCAAGGAAATCCAACAGCAAATGGAGGAGATCTCCAATAGAATTGTCAACCCGAGTAACTCTTTCTCCAAGAATCAAATGGTAGCTTTTAATGCTTCTAAGCCGGCTCAAGATGCTTCTCCGTCGACGATCAATCTCTCAAAGCGTCAGCATAAGACCCCTAAGTCGTTCATGGAGAAGCAACTGCTCCAGCTTGGGCCGATTACCACTCTGCCCAGGAAAAGGAGGAAGAACTTGCAAGACAACACTGGCGGGGACTTTGTCCCCTTTGAGGAACAATGAGACCCAACCGGTATACATGTCTTAGAGGGACAATGGTGCACAAACGGCTGCCAGAGCAATGGGATATCCTTCTGCCCTCGGGCAGGTTGACCCCTTTCTCAGGTATCTCCCCCCTCTGGAGTTGTTCTCTGTGCACTCCTGGTCCTTCTGAGACATGCAATCGGGATGGGCCTCCTTGTGAATCAAAGGGGCTTCCTCTCCTTACTTTATGTGTTTTCCTTTTGTTGTGTCAAACTTGTATGATTGTCATTACAGTCTTGGACCTTCCCACTTTTGTTTTTTACCTAGGGAAGGCAGCTAACTTTTCCATACTTGCGATGTACTCTTTTTACTTTTACTAATGCAAATGCAATCTTCAACTGTCTCCCCCCATCTCTCTCTCTCTCTCTCTCTCTCTCTCTCTCTCTGATCTCTCCATTCATTTATTGCTTCTCCCTCTCTATCTCTCTGTCTCTCTCTTAATTCATATATTCCTTCCCTCTCTATCTATCTCTCTCTCAATTCCTATATTGCTTCTCTCTCTCACTCTCTCTTCATTCATATATACGCGTCATTTCGGCCTCATTTTTCCTCTCTCTTAATTTTCTAGTGAGAGACTCTCTGGGTATGGCGGGGGGTGACCGAAGGTCACCTCCCTGTTCAGGCGGGGGTGGTTACGACGGAGGTACGTACGGCGTCGCGAGGAGGTAGTCTGGAGGTAGTATGAGTGGAGGTAAGAAGATCGGAGAGCGTTCTCCTAACAAGCAGGCGACTAATCGTGGTAAAGGCGTGGCCCGGGATTCGGGTAAGACCAAATCGGATATCCCGCTGACCGGTAGGTGGGAAGCCAAGGCTCGCGGCAATGACTCTCTGGTGGTGAAGCCACCAGAGAAAGTTTCTTCCTCTCCATCCAGATCTGGTAGATCTCGGCCAGATGGGTCTGCTTGCACCTCAACTGAGGAAAATTTGCCCAGTTCGGGACTGAACGTGACGCCTATCTCTTCCGGCAGTCCTGGAAAATCTCCGATGGATATGGAGGAGTGTGATTTAGCAGTGGAGCTGCTCGATGAGGAAGAGGAAATGTTTGATGTTGATGCGACCATGCCTGGGCGTCACCGATCGATGGCTATCAACCCAGATATGGCGGAATGGAGCAAGAAGGTCCTTTGCCCAGATTTGGTGGCGGCTATGTTGCCGACTTCTGATATGGAGTTGGGGGAGATGGATGCTGGAGAGGTTTCGGCCGAAGGAAAGTCCTCCCCTAAGGAACAAGGTTTGTTCGGTTGCCCTTCAGATGTTTGTGAAAATGCCGGCTCTGGGAAGTCTAGCATTAGCTGTGGTGAACCGCTGAGGCGGGAAACCACTCCACGACAGATCTTCTCGGATAAAGGGGCAAACCCGTGGCGACGTCCGGCGCACATCCAAATTGAATGCCCCAATGAGATTTAGGCCTTAGCTGCGGATGGCATTACTATCACTCTAAATCTAGAGCGTGTAAGGGACAACGTGACTTCGCTGGAGCATGCGGTTGTTGGGAAGATTTTGGGCAAGAAGGTCTCTTACTTCTTGTTGAAAGCTAAATTGGAGAGGCAATGGGGGGCATTTGGTGAATTCCAACTCACTACTTTGGCGGCGGAATGTTTTATCTGCCGTTTCTCCTCTAATGAGGCGCGTGATGCTGTGCTCTGCGGAGGGCCCTGGTTTATTGGGATGTGCTTGGTCGGCCTGGATCGGTGGACTCCTGGATTCTCTCAGGCATCTATGGAGGGGCTCTCTTCTCCAGTTTGGATTCACTTACCCAATCTCCCTCTGGAGTACTGGGATGAATGTAATATCTCCCGCATTGCTTCTCGCATTGGTTTGCCCATGTGGATTGATGCTCAAACTGGTAATTGGGGGAGGCGGGAATACGCTAGGGTCTGCGTGCGGATGAACTTGGCCAATCAGCTTTTGACTGGCATCTGGATTGAGGGCTTGAATGTTCGGTTCTACCAGAAAGTGGAATATGAGGGTATTGGGCTCCTATGTTATGGCTGTGGACGTGTTGGCCACAACAGGGATGTCTGCCCTTCCAAGCCGCTGGCTCAAACTACCTTTTTGGGTAAGAAACTGACTGATCCCCGGAGTCCGTTGGTGGATGGTAATCGTGATTGCCCGGGTGCTCGGCCGAGCGCTGCCAACCCTTCCGGATTGCCCATGCCGAACGGTGATGCTCCGGTGGCTTCCCCGACTGTTCCTAAGTCCTCCCCAGACAAGGAGGCCGGCCCCGGCCATGTCCCTGAACTAAACCCCCAGCTGGGGGAGATCAATGAGGAGAATTCTGAGGATCCTCTGGGGCCTTGGTTATTAGTTCCGCCACGCCGCCGCAAGAACGTGAACCCTCCTCTTCGCAACAAGGCGAGCAACGATAATAAGGCTCTGGGTAAGCCTCCGAAGCAAGTGGATCTGAATAAGATTACAGCGCCTCTCAACGTAACCAGGCCAACCAGGAAACAAACCAGGATGGGCATCACTCAGCCTCTGCTTTTTTCGGCCGGTGCTAAGGCTGGAGTGTCGATGACTAATCGGTTCAATGCTGGGCTAGCTTTTAGCAAGGGTGCGGTAGACTTTGAGCTCCCGCGCAAACGTAAAAAAGAAACTGTGGTTGGAACTAGCGGTGGGGACGCTTCCCCTTTGGTTGATCAATGACGTCCATTATCTTCTGGAATTGTAGGGGGCCCGTAAGAAACAAACTGGGCACTTCCTCCGCAGCCTCGTCGGTAGTAACGAGGTCCTGTTCGTTGGTTTGCTGGAAACAAAAATTTAAGTGATTTCTCGCTCTGATGTTGATGGCCTCATTGGGCCTTGCTGGGATTTCTTCCACCATCCGGCTAGAGGTAGATCGGGTGGTTTGCTGGCGCTCTGGAGAAGAGACATTATTCAGTTTGATGTTTCTAGGGTGACGGATCAGGCCCTAGTGGGTCACTTGGTTCTCCCGAACCTGCATCGTTGGTGCTTGGCTCTCGTTTGTGGTGGCAAAGACTACCATCTGGGAAATGCTGGGTTCGAGCATAGATGCGAACCTACCGGTGATTGTGGGAGGAGACTTCAATTGCTGTCTCAATCAAAGGGAAAAGAAAGGTGGACGTAGATTTGGTTTTCCTGTGGGTTCGCAGGAAATGGCGGCTTTCATGAGCACTAACGACCTTCATGATCTGGGGTTCACGGGGCCCAGTTTTACTTGGTCTAATAATAAAACCGGCAACAGTAAAATTTGGGTGCGTCTGGATAGTATCCTGTTGAATTCTTCCGGACTTGACTTGGTCCCTTTGGCTACAGTTAAACACCTGATTCGCCTAGCATCAGGCCATTGTCCATTGCTGCTGCAGCAGTTTGAGTCGCCCCCTAACAGACCTAGTAAATGGATTAGATTTGAGGACACTTGGCGGACCTACCCGGCCACTTGGAAGCTTGTGTGGAAGACTTGGTCCAAGCCCGATCATGGGATGTCGGCTGATGTGCTTAACTGAAAATGTTCCAGAACTATTTGGGCACTCTCTTTCTGGAGTCGCAACCGTTTGCAGGAGCTGGGAATTCTGAAGAAGTCTCTTGAGGACCACTTGGCTGAGCTCCAACTGATTGATTGCTCTGAGGTGGGCCTTTATGCGGAGGAGGATCTTGAATTGCGGACGAAGGCTTGCGAATTAAATGCTATGCTGGCTCGGATGGCGACTTGGTGGAGACAGCGGGCGAAGACCCGATGGATTACGGAGGGAGATTCTAACTCCCGTTTTTTCCACTCTTTTGCCACAGCCAGACGGCGGGGCAACAAAATTGTGGAAATCCAGTGCCCCAACGGGGAGCGTATCTCTGAACCTCCTGACATTCAAGATGAGTTCATGAATTTTTTCTCTCTTAAGTGGCAGGAACGATGCATCTCCTTGGAGGATTGGCCGAATCTTCGACAGGAGAACTTGGTTCCTGATAGCTTAAAGGGGTAGATGGAGGCTGAGGTTACTTAGTTGGAGATCCGTCAGGCTATTTTCAGCATGGGAGAAAACCGGTCGCCGGGGCTGGACGGTATCACTGTTTCTTTCCTTAAATTTTATTGGGAAATCATTAAAGTTGATGTTATCCGTGCTATCACTGTTTCTTTCCTTCAATGTTTTCCATGTGTGATAGCTGGAAAGATACGTTGGTTGTGCTCATTCCTAAGGTGGCCAATTCTAACTCTCCGTCAAAATTTAGGCCCATTAGCCTCTGTTAGTATTTTTACAAGGTGGTGGCTAAAGTTCTTATTAATCGGCTCAAGCCGAGCCTGGGGAACATTATTAGCGAGGAGCAAGGCACTTTTGTCCCGGGGAGATCCATCTCCAACCATGCTCTTGTGGCTTAAGAGGTGATGCATAAATTCCAGCACTCGCTCCAACGGGCGGGTATGATGGCACTGAAGAACGATATGGAGCAGGCGTATGACTGTATGCCTTGGGACACTTTGAGACATATTATGTCCCTGATGGGATTCCCGGCACGGGTTATTCAATGGATTATCCGTTGTGTCACTAGACCTCGCTTCACCTTGATGATTAATGGAACTAGGACTCCCTGGATTGCTGCTATGTGCGGTCTCCGCCAGGGATGCCCGTTATCCCCCTATCTCTTTATTTAATGCTCCGAACTCCTGTCTCTGGCCTTTATGCATCGGGGAGGGAATCTGGGAATTCACCTTGGCAAAAATCCGATTAATATCTCGCATTTACTCTATGCGGACGACATCCTTGTGTTTGCTAAGGCCAACCGGTGCAATGCTAACTGCATCATGAGCATCCTTGCGGATTACTATTGTTGGACGGGCCAGCGTGTGAACAAGAATAAGTCGGCTGTGCTTTTCAACAAGCATTGCCCCAGATGGAAGCAGAGGACGATCTATCGGTTTATGAATTTTTGTAGGGTGGATTCTCTGGATTACTTAGGAATTCCTTTGGTTATGAGGAGATTGACTGCGGCCGACTTTGCTAAGGTTCTTGGTAATGCCCATGAGAAAACGAATGTGTGGGGGAAAAAGCATCTCTCGTATGCGGGAAGGGCACTATTGATCCGCACTGCGTTGCTTACCATTCCTGGTTACCTGTTAGCCCACTCGGACGTGCCGAGTAGTGTTCTCAATTCGATCGAAAAGCTGGGTCGTCAGCTCTTATGTAAAAAAGACTCCAATAGCAAGGGGATGCATTACGTTTGTTGGAAGGATCTATGCCTTCTGTGTGACCATGGTGGGCTTGATTTTCATGATCTGAATATGTGGCGGGGGCCCCTCCGTGCTCGCCTAGCTTGGGCTGCCCTGAATGATTCGGACTCTCCTTCATAGAGTGATGCAAGCCAAATATGGCCTTGACATGTGGAACAACTCCCGAATTCCCAAGTGCTCTATCTCTTGGAAGATTATCAAAGAAGGTGATGATGCTCTGTCGGCTGTGATCCATTGGCGGGTGGGGGATGGCTGGAGAATCCATATTTTGAATGATTGCTGGATTCTTGATCGAAAGCTTGCTCGGTGGCCTTCCTTCGTGAATATTGAGGAAGTGGAAAATGCGATGGTCGAACTGCTTGACGATAATCAGAATTGGATTGCGGCCCATGTGGAGCGATTCTTCGGGAAGATCATGGCGGCCCGTATTTTAGATATTGGAACCATGACAGGCGAGGGGCCGGACTTACCTGAACTCTCCCATGCTTGCTTCAGTTCGACACTTTCTGCTTTAATCTATCGAGCAAAGTTCGAGCCTTCGGATTACCAATTTGGTTGGCTGCACAATTTGAAGCTCCACCCACGGGAGAAGTTCCACTGGTGGAGATTACTCCGGAATGCTATTCCTACTAACGCGTGGCTCTTGCGCCGTGGGCTGTCGGCCACATGTGATTGCCCTTAGGGCTGCAATGTGGAGGAGAATGTTGATCACTGCACTACTCGTTATTCCAAGCTGCTTGAGGTTCTTGGCATTCTCGGCAAGTGGGGTTTTCATGTTCCTACTTACAACTCCTTGGGGGAATTGTTGGATATGATGCCTGCTCTGGCTGACACGAACCCGCTCCTAGCCATTATCTTATGTTATTCTATATACCAAGTCTGGCGTGCTAGAAACGATCTGAAACACACTGGTCTTCATCGGCCGGCGTCCATTATCGCTGCTACTGTGCTATCGCTGCTGCCTAAGCTTAACTGTAAGCCAATTCTGATGCAATGGGGTTTCCACCAGCCCTCGCGGCTGCCTACTTTACTGTCCTGGTGCCCCCCCCCCTCCCAGGTTACCTTACTGTCCTGGTGCCCCTCCCCCCCCTTCAGGTTGGCTTAAATTTAATGTGGACGCGATGATTAGATTGTCTAGTCAGGCGGGCATTGGTGTGGTTGTCCGGAATGCCGAGGGGGAGCTGATTATTGCGGCTGTTAGATGTTTCGAACATTGGGACCCGCTTCAGGCCGAGATCTCGGCTGTTGCGGCCATCCGGGAGGTGCTGCAAGGTTGGATGCTTGAGATGGAGGGAATTATTGTGGAAGGGGACTGCACTAATGCTATCACATGGCTACAACAGCTGAATGACCGGAATTTCAAAGGCCACTACAATTTCATGGGGCCCGACTTGGCCATATTATTGGATTTCAAGCAGGTTATCTTTCAGCACATTCCCCGGGAGTGCAACAAACCTGCTGATTTTTGCGACAACTTAGCCTCTTTTGGCAATTTTGTTTATTCTGATGTAAATGCCATTGGGTTTCCCCTATCCCTCTTGATGTTATTAAGAGAGGATAACTCTAGTACTTAATGCCTGTATCTACGTTTCCATTTAATGCAAATGCAACCTTCAACTCTCTCTCTCTCCATCTCCCTCTCCCATGTTTTACCTTCATGTAATAGTTTTATTGTTTTAATGCAAATGCAAGTTCAACTCTCTCTCTCTCTCTCTCTCTCTCTCTCTCTCTCTCTCTCTTTCCCTCTCCCTCTCTCTCCTCCCTTCTCTTCCCTCTCTCTCCCCCCCAATCCATCTACCAATCCATCTCCCCCCCTCCCCCTCCCCCTCTCCATCTCCCTCTCCCTCTCCCTCTCCCTCTCCTCTTTGTCTTTATGCTCTCATTTGTTACCTTTTTTTCTCTCACTAGAGTGGTTTAGAGTGAGAAGCTCTGGGAATGACTAGAGGGGGTGGCCCTAGGTCACCTCCTACAAATAGGGGGAATGCTGGCGGTAAAGGTGGTGGTAGCAAGGAAAAGAAGCAAGGGAACCGGTGGCAGGTGCTGGCCACCGAGGAGGCCGACGGTGATGCTCCGGCGGCGGCTTCCAACAGGATGGACATCCCGTCCAGATCTCCCGAGATTGGCCGATTCTCGGCCACCTCCAGTAAGAGCGCGGCTCAGCTTGGGGCTCAGGAGGAGAAAGGGATTAGGACGGTCGGTTCTACTCGCCCTGGTAAGGAGAATATGCACGGCTTTGCCAGTGCGAAGACCACTCTAAATCCGATGGCTTTTAAGACTTAGCCTTTTAGCATTGAATTTTGGTTTGGATTTCTAAGATCTAGGTAGATCCTAAGGTCTGGATCTAGGAGAATCCTTGAGTTTAATTAGTTTGGAGATTAAATTGATTTAGGGTCAAGAATTGTCCAAGTGACCTCATACAAAAAAGAGGTCAACAGGTCCTTCCGACCTTTGTCACCATACAATGGTTCTTATGACATCTGCTCGCTCACCGACTATGATTCTTCCGACCCCTGTCACCCGCCGAATATGACTCTTCTGATCTACTTCGCTCACCAACTATAGTTTTGCCGCCGATACAAATATATCAACATTTATTCTTCTAACTCCTACTATACAATACACTCTATATAATGTATATTTGCTACTTCGATCCAAAGCATTCCTCCTAAGGAAGGGCCTCATTTGTAATCAATTACAAGCATTAGTGGATTCATTCAAACTAGGCCAGGCCCCGTGTTTTTCCCCCTTTTTAGGGATTTCCACTAAAAACTCTGGTGTCTCTTATGAACGCTACATCCTTTCTTTCATCTGTTTATGTGTTGGATCTTCGTATAACGCTAAGACGTTATACTTTACTAATCTCTACCGCTGTGAATTTTCCAGGACGCAACAGATACGAACAACGGGAAGCAGCCGAAAAGCAGGAGTCTTTTGCCGGACGTGAGAAGCAACCGCGGGACGCAAACAATTTAAGAACGGAGCACAAACGTGTACTCCCAAACCACCAATCAGTTACGTTTCATACAGTACAACAGGGAAACAGCCGTCCCAAACAAAGCCTTAAGGTAATGAGACAAAATTTTAGGCTTTCTGTCGTAAGATCTGTTTTTTTTTTTTTTTTTTTTTTTTTTTTTTTTGTAATAGATTTGTTTAAATTCCGTTGGATTTTTTGTTTCTTTATAATTAATATATATTTTTTATTCTTAAACTAAAAATTTTTAATTTACGAAAATACAAAATATTGTTACCATATTTTGAAAATATCTCTAAATAAATGTTTCGATTACTTAATTATTTTAATACAACATTAAATATTAATTATGATACTTAGATATTAATAAGACGAGTTAAACATCAAATACTGATTTAATTAAGATCATTAGGGGTTTATAAGAATTTTATTAATTAGAAATGGTTCAGTAATAAAAATTATACGTATAAGTTATTTATTAATATTAATAAGGAAAATAAATATGTATACTTCAAAAATCTATCATTCTTGTTTATAATTTTTTTTAAAAGATTTTTAATTTTGCTATGCCCTATTATGATTGAATTTTTTATTGTAACGGTTATCCACCTATTAGGGGTGCAACCGAGTCAAGCCGGCTTGCGAGCTGGCTCTAGCTCGACTCAATAACTGGCTCGATGAGTCGAGCTTATCGAGCTAGCGAGTCGAGCTTGAGCTTGAACACGATTTCGAGCTCGAACAATACACTGCTCGACTCGTGAGCACATCGAGCAGCTCACGGATGA